CTGCTATCTCTACCTCAAAAACATATTTATTTAACATTTCAATTCTTCAAAATTCAATTAACTAACAGATTCCCTTTAATTCAACTTTTTAAAATTTTTTAAATAAAAATTGTTTCCGTAGGAACTACCTCTGTGTGTTGAACCCTTGTGCTTGCTGATATTTGTTCTAGTTGCCTTCCAGGAATCCTGGGCTGCCTTCCAAGCAAGGAGAAAATAGGTGTTCCTTCAAGCATCAGCCAGCATGGCTTCAACTGACCTCTTTTACTTTAAACTTTGACTTCTGATTTCTCACCTAGCCATGTCTTTTCCAGACATCAGCCATTATCTTGTCTGTCTGTGCAGTCTTAGTTTCCTGACTATATGGCTTTGTCCTAACTGTTCTGCTAGCTGCTCCTAAGAGATCTGATCTTTTTGCATGGCTTTTGACTCTCATCTCCCACTCTCCTGTCCTACCAGTGCAGTTCTGCCTCCTCACCGGTGCGTCTGGTCTTGACTCCACCTTAAGACCTCAAACATGTGTTCAGCAAGGCTCTCTGCCCTAACTCAGGGTGGTAAATTAAAACATGCTCACCCAAATAGAGTGCTAGACCTGTGGATGTGACTTGAGATCCTGTTGACTATGCCAGAGTCTGTTGTCACACAAGTCAACAAATTGATAGGAACTTTAGGAAACAAGTCATTGGTTGTTTATTTTCATGTGTAAGGAAGCAAAGCTAGTCTTCCTAGTGTAAATATAAAACTAACACTTACATACACCTTCAAACTTTTTACAGAATGTTACAGTATTACGTATTACAGTCCCCACATTATATAGAGTCATACATCATGGAAACAGACGCTTTTGGTCCAACCAGTCCATGCTGACCATAATCCCAAACTAAACTAGTCCCACCTGCCTGCACTTGGCCCATATAACCCAAACATTTCTTATTCATGTACATATCTAAATGTCTTTTAAATGTTATAAACTGTACCCGCATACACCACTTCCTCTGAATTCATTCCACACACGAACCACTCCCTGTGTAATAAAATTGCCCCTCATGTCTTTTTTAAATGTTTCTCCTCTTGCCTTAAAAATATGCTCTGTAGTTTTGAAACTCCCATCCTAGAAAAAAGATACTTGCCATTCACTTTATTTTTATCCCTCATGATTTTATAAACCTCTATAAGGTCATCTCTCAATCTCCTATGCTCCAGGGAAAAAAATTCCAGCCTATCCTTATAACTCAAACCCTCATTCATTCATTCATTAAGATGATTACTGTCCTGTTTTGCTGTAGTATATAAAGGCTGATTTTCACCTAAGGACAGTGTTATCCAGCTAGTGGTACAGTTCCTACATTCATAGCTCATCTAGGAACCATCTGTGGTACCCATTCGCTTTTACTATGGTTGACACTATGACTGAAAATGTAGGCCTTAACTAATTATAGCCCCCTGAGAGACCACAGCAAAAAGAATCACTATCAATTGGTAATCTCTCTATGAAAAGCTATGAAGTTGTTGAGTTAAGAATAAAAAGGGAGGGGGGGCGTGGAATAAGCAGACTAGTCCAAAAGTGGATGTTTTTGGGTTAAGGCACTTTGTTGTAGAAGTAAAGAAAGCTTTATTGACATCTGTTCCTGATGGTCTGACGGCTGTTACTGGACACCCACATTGAAAGATGTGCTACGTTTCGAATTTATGATTGACTGTTTGTCTTATGTTCTCCAAATGTGACTTCCTGATAACAGGCATATCTTTAAGATTAAAATGGTACTTATTATAATGACATAAATATAGCCCTCTATCTCTGAGCAAAATCTCTTTCACACATACCTATAACAGATGATCCATTTATACAGCAAGATGTATTCAATACTTGGTAAAGTCAAACGGACTAGAGTATCACCGTGGGCTGTATAAAGCTTTTAGGGCTGATTTTCTGCACGTGCACTGCCATCATGGAGTCTCACTTGGCAGTCATGCATATTGGAAAATAACTGACTTGCTTCACTTTCTTTAAGTTTCCAGCTGTTATTAGTTGATTGTACATATTCAGAAAGCTAGCAATAGAAGTTTGACGAATATTGAGGAATTAAAGATTTAAACTTAAACATTTCACTTCATTGTTAGAATGATAAGCCTGAAGTCATAACAGTGCAGTTCATGCAGGGCCATTATCTGCTAGGAATGTGCTTTGCTAAAATCAGTTCACAGTGATAGACTCCTTGTTGTTCAAGTATGTCCAAGCTATAAATTATTTCGTTGTCTTTTGTGGGACCTCTAACAACTGAAGATTTCCATGTGGGATCAGCAAAGATGTCCATAGAACTGGCAGCTCAGATGTGTGCCACCTTTAGCCTTCCTTTGAGCAACATCAGTTGTTGTGAGTTTGGCGTCGTTAACCCTAAAAATAATCTTAACCAAATTTCATTGCTTCTCTCCATATGGTTTGATCGATTACAATGTCTTGCGGTGCAGAATTTCAAACTACTTTCTTTTTACTTTGTCCTTTATATTGTTTGGATTGACCACTTTAATGTTGTTTGCCCTGAATAGTTCTTCATCGAAGATTTGCTTGGAGATTCTATAGGTGACCAGGTGGAAGCATGGCCTGCCAATCCCAGTTGAATTTTCTGCAGGGTGCAATTTATTCCTGGCATTGAACTGTCATCATGAACCGGAATGTCTTTGGGTGCCAGCATTCTAGAGCTTCAGTGTGGTATCAATGACACACCATACAGCAGGGTTTTAAGGACTGTGCTTGATAGATTTGTTTGATTTTAGCCTTCAACTTAATGCCTGGCTGTCTGCAGACATGTTCTTGAAGTCAACCATAGGCAGAACTTACATTCTGGGTGCGTGCATAGATGTCTGTATATGGCATCCTAAGAGAACAAAAAGTAGATTAATTTATAACTTTGAAGGAGACCATTAGAACAATTGAGATTATGCCAGAGTAAGTCTATGTAAAAAGTCTAATTTCTTTTTTCCAGCTGAAAACATGTTCTGTCAAATCGCCAGGGCCAGGGAAGAAATTGGAACCATCATGTAAGATGTTATTTTCATAATATTACAATAATTTACTCTTTTGTACCAAAACTTGTATTCTAGGCGATGTGCCATCCTAGATTATCATCAGTTGTAACAAAATAGTTTTCCACTGAAAAACTTCATTATTTTATATCTGAAAGTTTATAATGTCAAATAGAGGCATACAGCATGGAAACTGTTACAGACCAGAGCAAATCCCCTGAAAATATATTAAGAAGGTAGTCTAGACTTTTAAATGTAACTGTACCTGCATCCACCACTTCCTCTGGCAGTTCATTCCACACAGAAACCACTCTCTAAGTAAAAAAGTTGCCCCCCCCATAAAAATATGCTCCCTAGTTTTGAAAAATTGGATACATTTCTTTGTAGTGTTTGATTGCAGACACTAGTTATCTATTCATTCCTAAGCTGCCTCCAATGTATTACACTGATAACTTTGCACCCCGTAAAATTTATCAAGGTTTTTTCAGAAGAAAATAACTAATTCCTGGAGACAGCAATTGAGATTATACAAAAAGCATGGCTGATACACAGATAATTCTTGCTTCAACAACAAGAAAATCTCCAATGTTCAACACAGACATGGCAAAAGACTACACGTTATCTCTCTGAACTCACATGTCTTCAAGCTGCACATGAACTGTATTAACTTTATTAATTTGAATTCTTTATATTGCACCATGTCTCAGGTTGCATATTTCACAAACTATTACGATCACAGAGCAAAAGCAATGACTGCTAATCCTAAGTAAAGACTGTCTAGTCCTTTAGAATTTGCTCACATGCCTTGAATGATATGCTTCCACAATGAAACTGCAGCAGTCAGAGAGTTCTGAATTGGATTTTAAGAAAAAAGAGTAAAATAATTACTGTAGCTCGAGCCTTGTCTCCCTCTTTTTGTTTAATTTTAATCTCTGCATATTAGAAATTGCTTTTGCCTCAGGTGGAAAATCATTGCTCCTTTAAGAGAGAAATTCTACAATAATCACAATTGATTTTGAAATCAGTTAACCATATAAAAACATTAACATGTTATACTCGTGAGTCCTTGATAATAAGCTGATACATTTTGAAATCTACACCAGATTGGAATTAAATCATAACATTAACATAGGGCATTTATACATAAAGGTTGCTTGTTGACCAAAGAATATTAAGTTTGGTGTATAAATCTGTCATCATTATTTAATCTCCATGTGTCGGTAAGCTGTGCTAACATAGAATAGATATTACTCTAACTGAAACGGAATAAAATGAGGAGAATTTGCTCTGTTATGAACTGTGAGGGAATTTGGAAAGTGGTCTTTATGTTCCTGAATGTGTGCATTCCAGCGATACTTCTTAATTTAATGGGAATAGGAAAAAAAAATGTTCTCTGAATAAACCAAAACATTTAATAATCAATGATTTATTTATTTATAAAATGCACTGATTTATTAGGTAAGCAAAATGATACGCAATATATACCTACTAGGTATCACGACAAGCATATTAAATAAACAACATTCACTGCTCTACTTCCTCAAACTCTCATTATCTATCTTTCTACCACCCAGGTTGCTGCTTTCCTTCTCACTTTTCTTTCCACTAATCCAAATCAAACTCTATCAAGTATTTCACATCTATCCAAATACTTTTCCCGTTGACTTGGCATTGGCTATGTGATTATTTGACCTGTTTTCTCTTGCAGTCACTGTTCAGCTCTTCAGCCTACCATGTACTGGTATTTGTATTTTAGGCTATGTTTAAGGCCAACACTACCACTCAATAGAGCACTGTACGTGCATTTGTACATTTAGAGAGTTTTGTTAGATTGTGAGATTAGAGCATGCATCCAGGAACCTTTTCTAATTGAACTGACTACGTGTTTCAATTCCAATCTGGAATTTATAATTTTATTAATTCACAGATTAACAGATTTGTCAAATTGTATAAATTAAATCATTAGCTCAATCACATAGCCAGTCAGCAAGTACTTTGTTGTATAGCAAAATTCAGTTCACTGGCTTCAAATTTCAGATCCTATACGTTGTTGGAAGCCAGAAATGGCAGGGCAATACAAAAGCAGGGAAGATGCACAGGAACTTTCTGAATTACTGATCAGACCTCAATTGGAGTATTGTTATCACTCCCATGCACGTGCACATATATACTGACAACTCTGTGCTTGTGTAAATAGCTCCTGCCAGTCATCTTTAATGCTGACGTGTGTCGGGAATGAACGTATTTTTTTAAAAACTGCACTTGTCGTCTTTTTGGTTTACTCAACTAAAGGCCACAGTGTGGGAGGAGAGATTAAGGATGGGAAGATAGCACACAGTAAAAGTTAGCAGGCAACTGGGACACCTTATTTCAAAGATAGACAAGTGCATTATCTCAGACATAGCTTTGCAGATATTCTGAGTAAGATATTTACTTTCAGGATCAAAGAAAGGCAATAAACAAAATTCAGCATAAAAGATCAGATAGTAAGAGAGACCACATTGCACCAACCATTACAAAAACAAAGCTGTATCCCAGATATGCAAAAGAAATGGATAGATGATTGAAAGCAAAGATATCCCAGGAAGATCAGCAGGAAGAAAACCAGTCTGAGAAATAGCGGTAAGAGACAGTACCCAGCTCATGCCAAGAAAAAGAGAACTCAAATGAAATGAAAACCAATTATAATGGAGGAAAATATTATGAAGACTTTTCATGAAGCAGAAAGGAACACAGAGAAGGTGGAAGGGAGAACAATATCAACAGCTTGCATTTATATATCTCCTTTAATGTCATTGGCACTCGTTAATGAGTATGATTGTCCATCCAGGAAATTCTGCGTGACTGGTCAGAACTTTAATGAAGCAAAACATCTCAAGACACATCAAGGTGAGCAAATGAGATGCAGTTATCGGGGAGGCGATGTCCTAGTGGTATTATCAATGGACTGTTAATCGAGAGACCCGGATAATGTTCTGGAGACCCGCGTTTGAATCCCGCCACAGCAGATGGTGGAAATTGAATTCAATAAATATTTGAAATTAAGAGTCTAATGTTGACTGTGAATCCATTTTTGATTGTTGGGAAAAACCCATCTGGTTCAGTAATGTCCTTTAGGGAAGGAAACTGCCACCCTTAGCTGGTCTGGCCTACATGTGACTCCAGACCCACAGCAATATGGTTGACTCTTAACTGCCCTCTGGGCAACTAGGGATGGGAAATATGTGCTGCCTAGCCAGTGATGCCCTCATCCCGTGAAGGAATAAAAAACTTTATAGTCATTAAAACAGAAATATTATTTTTGCAAAATTTATAATTTAAAAAAATTTAGTCCATTTCATTTTCCTCCTTTTTTGCAATGATTTTAGGTTAAAGCATTTGGTAAGAGTATTACTGGCAATGATAGGATGAAGTTCTTAAAAACAGTCTAGTATCTCTTCTTTATAATGTGACATCACTTTGGGAAAAGCACCCTACAGCTGAATGGATAAGCATTTAAGAACTGCTTTCATCTGTGGAACAGCCCATTGAAGTCTAACATACAAACTAGAAACGATATCCAATAGTTTTATGATAACCTCCTTCAAAGTACTCTGGGGTTAGATCAGATAAATCCTCAGGTCTCAAAGGTAATACGATTTGGTTTTCTGTGAATGGTTTGGTAGGTTTCATCTTTTTCACATTTGTTTGTTCTGGATTGCTCTGAATGGACTGGTTCGGTTGTTTACCTAAATTTTCTCAAGTGTAGAACTCCAAGAGGACAATGACACGTTGGTGGATAGGCAGTAGATGCAGTTCAGTGTAGAAAAATGTGAAATGATGTTCTTTAGTCAGAAGAGCGTTGAAAGACAATATAAAATAAGGGGTGTAATTCTAAAGAAGATGCAGGAAAAGGGAGACCTTGGTGTATATGTGTGCTGATCTTTGAAGGTGGGAGATCGAATAGAGAGAGCATACTGGGTCCTCAGCTTTATTAATAGGGGCATAGAGTACAAGAGTACAAGCTACTTGTTAGAGCTCAGCTGGAATATTTGTACACTTGTGAGTGCAGTATTATAAGAAAGATGCATTGGAGACAGTGCAGAAATGATTTACAAGAATGGCTGCAGGAAACATCTGTTCTGAGGAGCAGTTGAGGAAGTTGGGAGTGTTCTTCTTGGAGAGCAGAAGGCAGAGAAGAGATTTGACAGAGGTTTTTAAAATCATGAGTGAGCTGGATAGAGTAGATGGGAAAAGCTGTTCCTGCTTGTAAAAGAAACAAGAACACAAGGGTATAGATTTAAGGCGATGTGTAGACAAAGCAAGTGTAATCTGAGAAAAAAACATTTTCACTCAGTGAGTAGCTATTGCACTGCCTGGAAAATTGGTGGAGGCAAGTTGAATTGATGCATTCAAGGGCATTGAATGACTATATGGTTAGAAATGGCTTGCAAGGTTATGGGGAAAAACAGCAAGATAATAATTGATTTGAAGAGCCAGTGCAGACACAATGGGCTGAATGACCTCCTTTGACACAACAGTTCTATGGCTTAGTGATGTTGTCTATGATTCAGTTGCAAAAGAAACAATTTGAATTAAAACTTGAAAAGTAATAAAAATTTTAAAAGTAAAAAGTGAAACAACTTGCGTTCTCATGAGAGGAAAACAAGAGAAATAAAACTTGAATTAGAATTTGAAGGACTAAGACAAGGAAAAACCATTAATTACAAAGAGGGAAGACGGGAAATTTTGAACTAGGAAGGGAATAGCTGTGAACCATGCAAGTGGTATAGTTGCAGACTTGACAAAAGGTCAAATTTAACTCATGGTTCGATTTGGCAAGGAATATTTACTTGTACTTAAATTCAGTGAAGGTCTCCATAAGGATCATTACAGCAGCAATGAAGGCAAGTCACAGGCATGCAAACTTTCTGAAACTTTATTTTGAGTTGTTAAGATGACAGATATTTCTTACTGCATGGAGCGAATAGTTGTAGGAACTCATGGAGGATGGTTAGAGAGATAGGGTATGAAGGCCCTGCCACTTCAAGCTGTTAAAACAACTTGCTTTTCTTTCACAAGGGGCTATTAAATATCAGGCTGCCCAGGCTTCAGAAAGGTGCTCCTGCAAATAGACTGGCTGTATTAAACAAAGTCCACTGTTACATCACAGCAGCAGGGAAGAGTCCACGGACATCAAGAGTGTGTAGTCACACAACTAAATAGATGCATCACAGTGGCCATGGATGGACTCTTTAGTAAGGCTGGCAGCAACATCACTTTTTCCACTAATGGGGCTAATCAAACTCAGCAGGCAATTGAATTTGCTACAATCGTAGGGTTCCCACGTACAGGACATTATTGATTGAGCCATTGTGGTCATCAGAGATTCCAGTGAAAAGCCAGAGAATTTCAAAAGGAGGAAGGCTGACCACTGAATGAACGTACAGCTGGCATGTGAACACAACAAAGAAATTCTACATGTCTCTGTGTGTGTTTTACCAGAAGCTGCAGAGATGCACATATTCTCTGCAAGAGAAGCTTCTGCTGCTCTCTGTCCTGGCCCGCAACCCTAGTGATTTTTGGCTATCGAGAGAATGAATTAACTTACTAAGCAGTGGCTAATTGTTCTGTGTGTGTGCTATGAGCAGAGACCCAAGCAGAACAATGACAACCATCTGTTGCCAAGAGCCTACATTGAGCGGTACTCTGGCATTCTCTGGGTGATTCTGTTGGTGCTTTGCAATATAGAGTTTCTTGCAAATGTGTTGAACATTGACCTGAAAGTGATAGAATAAGGAAAACTTATAATTTATTTAAAATATGTATGTAATTTATGATGGTTTTCAGAAATGTTTGAAAGGACTTTTTAGAGTTTGCATCAATTATAAAGGGATCAGTTGTAACTTTCTTGGATTATAAATACTGATCCATATGGACTGGCTAGTCTTGACCTGGAAGCAATACCATCAGAAAGGAAGTTGAGACAGAAGCCATGTGGCTCTCAGATATAAAGATGAGCTGCATACAAAGAAGAGCTGCAGCAGAGGACAGATCAGAGCAGCTCCATTTATTGGAGAGTGTATGTGGTGTGTAGTGTGGTTGCTTTGGCAGAAGCTACTAGTATATTAATTCTATTAAAAAAAGTCCGATCAGAGAGTTTTTGACATCAAAACTGTTGTGAATCTGGCTAAGTAAGTTCTTCAGAATTATCCCTACATCAGTTTATGATGATCTCTAGCCACACTCTTGGGGTGATCCACCCAAACCTTCATGACTGACAGGCTCCTGCTGAACGCCCTCAGGGCTGCAGACCCTAAGGCTGCACATGGACATAGTGGGAAGGCAGTGAGAAACAAAACTTTCTGAGGCCATATCAGTGGCATGAGTGACACTTCATTGTAAATAGAGTATCACATTTGTAAATATATAGGTAGTTTAAATCATCATCTGTTTGATTGATTTGTCATTTAAGCTCAGTTACAAGAATGAAGCTACCTAAATTAACTTTCCCTCATGGAATATGATGTTGGAACTCTTTCTGAAGGAGTGCCCATCTTTTTGTAACGCGTGGTGACATTACATGTTATCATTGTTGAATGTGGGAGCATCAGATGTTGTGAAGCTTGCAAACAATTGTTAACTTTTAACAAAAAGAAAGAGCAAACAATAAAGCTGCATTTTCATTTGAGGTTTAAAAGAGGCTGAATGAAGTAGCAACAAACTTGCAGTCAATGAATGATGTCTTCACCTAACTCAGATCAAGTAGGAACACATGTTAATGAAGTCCTCTCTGCCTTGCTATATCCACACTACACTGTTCTATTGTGGTAAGTCATGTTTCTCCTCCTCAAGGTTCTCATCTTCCTCAAAAGACTACTGTCACTTTCCCAGCTCTTCAGCATCTATCACTTCTCTGCTTTGTTTGCATAGCACAACATACTAAGATTACAGCACATTCCATCTGGGGTGTACCACAACTTACCAGAGATTTATCCAAACATCAGAATCTCATCTTCAGGATGTGTATCATCTGCTATACTATGGCTCTTGTGGAAGATGCTTGGCCTCTGTCAGGAGGTTATGCAACAGAGTCACCAGCCATACAAAGAACAATACAACACAGCAACAGGCTCATCGGCTGACACATTTCGCCCTTCACTTACAGGATCTATATCCCACTCTTCCCTTCCTATTCATGTATTTGTCCAGGTGTTTCTCGAATGCTGCTATTGTGTCTGCTTCCACCACTCCTCTGGCAGCGCTTTTCTGGCACACTCACCACCCATTGTGTAAAAAACCTGCCTTGCATGTCTCTTTTAAACTCTCCCCCCCCCCCCCCCCCCCACCAAACCATGCCTTGAACCTGTATTCCCTAGTAATTGACCCCTTTCCTGGGAAAAGGCCCCATACTTTCTGGTCTTTCCATGCCATTCACAATCTCATGAACTACTATCCTCTGACAATCCTCCTCACTATCCGCAATTCTACCAATCTTTGTATCATCTACAAATGTACTAATTAGATCCGCCATGTTGTCCCCCAAATCTTTTACGTAGACTACAAACAGCAGAGGTCCCAGCACTGATCCCTGTGGAGCACAGCTAGTCACAACGCTCCATTCCAAAAAGCATTTTTCTACTGCTACCCTCTTTTATGATTAGAGAGAGTCACCCATGTCTCCTCATAGCCATTTTGTAAAACATCCATCCCTTTGAATGCAACATTAATCTGAGATTGTCAGGGATGTGACATGGCAGCATCCAGGGCACCTGGCACAGACTTCTAATATGGTAGTGATGATCAAAAGTGATCTGGACATTGCCTTTCAAATAGATTCAGCCATGTTATGGTGATCTCAAAAGTTTAACTGGTCTGTGCACCTGGTAGAAGCCAGCAATGTTGGTAAAGCTGACTGACAGGGCTTATCTTATCAAGAG